GGCACGGTGATGGTGCCAACCGATGGTACGACAAGCCCCTGCAGTTCATTGTCAATGACAACGGCACCTCTGGTTTCATGGGCGAGCACTCAATGATGGACGGAACTCCTACTCACCGCCTGAACGACTACGTCAACGACCTCATCTTTGGCAACAAGCTCGACTACTCCAACCCCAGTGTCCGATCCAACTTGCCCGACCCTCAGGTCGTCAAGTTCGAGATCAACAATGAAGTCCAGGCCGAAATTGACCGGGCGACTAAGGATTTCAACGAAGTCATCGGCAAGCACCAGCTTGCCGTCCAGGCCTACCAGGGCTATGGAAAGGGCCTCATCAAGAAATTCAAGTGCTCCCCCGATGCCTATGTCCAAATGATCATCCAGCTTGCCTACTTCAAGATGTACGGCAAGAACCGTCCTACCTACGAGTCTGCTGCCACACGCCGCTTCCAGCTCGGTCGTACCGAGACATGCCGAACTGTCTCAGATGAATCCACGACTTGGTGCAAGGCCATGGAGGATGCTTCAGTTGATGAGAAGTCCCGTGTCGACCTATTCCGCAAGGCCATCAACGCCCACCTCGAGTACATCACTGCCGCTTCAGACGGTAAGGGTGTTGATAGACACCTCTTTGGCCTCAAGAAGCTTCTTGAGCCCGGCCAGGAGGTCCCTGCTATCTACAAGGACCCTGCCTATGCTTACTCCGGCTCATGGCATCTGTCCACTTCTCAGCTGAGCTCTGAGTTCTTCAACGGCTACGGGTGGAGCCAGGTCATCGATGCCGGCTTTGGCATTGCCTACATGATCAACGAGAACAGGTATGTAACCAGGCCTTTGTCTTCTTAGAGCGTAATACTAACAACATATGATAGCCTTAACTTTAACGTTGTCTCCAAGGGCCTGGGCAGCGACCGCATGAGCCACTACTTGAACGAGGCCGCCAACGATATGCGCGAGCTGCTCACACCCACTCTTGAGCCTCCCAAGGCTAAGCTGTAAGAATGTGCATCTTCAATGTTTCTTAGACGGAGTTATGCCACTTTTACATATGACACAATACTATGGCTGGGTAGTTTAGATATGGTATCGGGCTGAGAAGGAGCGGCGTTCTCGCCTGATTGTGCATGTATTCTAGACATGATATTGTTACCGCCTGGATAGAAGACCTGGCGATTTATTTGCAAGCGATGAATGGGAGCCTACGCATTGGAGGGCAGAAGGAAGCCGTAGATCAAAAGTCTGAGCGATGACAACTGCAACAATAAATAAAAAAAAGTCAAAAAAGTTTCGTCATTTCTCATGTCACCGCGACAAGTCTCGATGGACATGATATGAAGGCTTAAGACATGGCTGATGAAGGTACTACGGTATATGCTACTCCTACAAACTGACAAATCCAAGCAGTGGATGAAACTTGACTGCTTTAGCCGGCGTGCGCCACGATCTCGTTAACCAAGTCGCCCTTGGCCTCATCGTAGTAGGAGCAGATCTGTGACGGCAGAGGCACCTCCTTGTAGTCCTCGTCCTCGCCCGAGATAACGTTGAGGTTGATACCTGCCGACTTGCTCGTGAAAACCTTGGTGCCTGTGCTCTCCTTGCTGAAGTAGATTTGTGCCCCATCGATCTGGTCCAGCATGACTGTAGGAATGGTACCGAGAACTTGAAGGGCGAAGTTCTGGGCTTTGACGACATCAACCGTAGAGACAAGGGTCTCGACAATGAGTGACAAGCGGGTCGAGTTCTCAACCGTCACCTGGTTAGCCTTGCCCCTGATTAGAATGGTGGTGTTGTTGCATCGGCTGATCAGAACGGAATGCGTCAGGGAGGCCTCAATCTCAATGGGCTCGGGCTCCTTCTCGTAGTTTTCCTAAGCTCAAGTTAGTGACCTGCTTCTCTCAATAGTACTGGTTGAGACATACGATGGTCCACTTGTTGCCCTCCAATTCCTTCTTCGCAGGCTTCTTAACGCGCATGCTCTGGGGCTTGGGCTTCTTTCCTGGAGCTGGACTCTTGCCCCGGGTAGAACCTTGACGTTCGGAGACTGTTGAGCCCGCACGGAGGGACGGGTTCTTGTGTGTCATCTCAGACCTGTCCACCTTACGGAGACCCTGTGTGACAGATTCGCCCTTGTTAAGTTCCGAAAAGACTGCACCGAAACCGCCGGTTGGCGCAGCAGGGGCGGGTTCTGTCTTGATATCCAGAACCGGGGGAGGGCCTGGAGGCGGCGGGGGAGGCGGGGGAGCATCGCCAGCAGGAGGAGCGGGAGCAGGTGGAGCGGGAGCAGGTGGAGCGGGAGCAGTGCTGGGACCACCGGAAAGCAACTTGGCGACCTCCTGCGCTGGCTGTCCGTTGGGGTTCCAGGGGATACCATTGGCGAAGTATTGCTTGACATAGTCGGCGAGATCGCGGAAGATTTGGTACAGGCTTTGAACCCAATCGCCGTGCCTGCTGTCCCTGCGCATCCGGTCAGTACTGCGAAACGTTCCTGCCTAGAATTCGACCTACTTGTCCTTGTGCTCCTTAAGCACCCTGTTTCCAAAGAATTGAGCCGAACCAAGAGACTCCTCGACATGCTTGTAGGGGCGGGTGTCAATGGTGATCCAGGCCAGAACCGTGATGCCAGCGGAAACAGCGCTCAAATGGTTATAAGCCGGGTCAGGTCGGTTGGCCTCCGTGAGGGTGGTGACTGCCGACAAAGCGTCGGTGATGGGTTTGAGAAGGCTTTCGTACATGGGCAGATCGGGGCCCGAGAGGTTGGGCTTCTTAGCCTTGGTCGAGATGAGGAGAAACTTCCGCTGCTCTTGGAAGCCCTTCTTGACTTCCAATGCCTAGATATTAGGGCAACGGTCAGCTGTTGGCCTTGAAGAGATCCCGTTGTTGGAACTGTACCTGTTCAGCGATGACGCCACCAAGCTCCTGGCTCTGCTCAACATATTTCTCGACGGCGGAGCTCAGGAAGGCATCGAATTCCTCAATAGACTCTGGAAGTGGCTCGGCGACTGGCTCAGGGACAGGCTCGGGCTTGGGAGGAGCTGGAGGCGCAGCAGGGGCGGCTGGAGCTGGAGGCGCTGCGATGGCAGCGTTGGAAGACGAGGCAGCGGGGGCATCGGGCGGAAGCTCGGTAGAAGCAGCGATATCCTCGAGACGAGAGGTAGCAGCTTCGAGCCTGGAGACGTTATCAGCGTGGGCGGCGGTTGAAACCAAGACTCTGGCAATCCGTACCGCTTGATCAGGGTGGTGAGATTATGCATGTGGTTTGTGGCGGCCATGATGTCGGTCTCAGTTCGATCCGGTTGCTGGGAGAGCTTGAGGAGGATTCTTCTTTATATATACAGTACGCGGCGAACAGCGACGTGCGCAGGCAACAGAATAGTTCGCTCTGCCTGGTGGATTGCGCAAGTCGTAATCGTCGAGGGTTATGCCACCTAGTCGAGAACGAGTCAATGACATGGAATCACAAGAGGCAGACGCGAAAAAACAGCCGGTTAGGCGCCTACCTTGACCATGAATATGTTGTAATAGTCAAAAGCTCAGCGAGGATGCGATGCGATGCGATGGTACGAGGTGAGGAGATGGGAGCTTGACCGAGGAGGTTTTGGAATAGGGATGAGCTAGGCAGGTGGGAAGGAGGTTTGGAGGTACTCGAGCTTGACCTTTTTGGCCGCCTGGGCAGGTGCAAAGTGTAGGTAGCGTGTAGGTACAGCTAGCCTAGCTCTCATTCCCCTGCAAGCCCGTTAGGTAAGGTAGCACCATGACCTTGGCTTCCATATCCATTCCCTAGGCAGGTAGGTTTCCGTCCATTCCAGCGCCCCTGGCCCGGCCGCTCGGCGCTTGACTGCCCGGTTCCGGCGCAGCCTCCTCTGTCTTTGCAGATGCCCAGGTACCCGCAGCGGCAGGCACGCAGTTGGTTGTGAGCCACGTGGTCATCATCTTGGTCTCAAAGTAGGTACCCTATCTTTGGAACTTGGACGGTATTTAACCGGACTGATTTATCAGACCTCGACCACCATATTGATAGAGTGAAAGTCAAAATACAAGCCTCTATTCTCGGCAAAACACGGGAAACAATTATGGCTTTGGTTTCCAATAAAGAACGGAAGCTGCCTCGGGAGAACAAGGGAGGTATGTAGGTACCTTAGATAAGATAGACTGGGTACCGGTGGAGGCTCAAGGCCATACGCCAGATGCTGCAGCTCCGATCAGCCCAACGCAGACACCGCTTGAACTTGAACCTGAAAACAACACCAACAGATCATTCACGACCTCCCAATTCCACCTTGCGTTTTCGCTAGATATCTACTGAACAGTGCCCATAGAGCGTATTCCATGAGCTCTCGTCTAGTGTCCTCGCAATACCGGAATAAAAAGTTTCGCCTCGCTGAGCCTGAGCGTTTCCACCCCTGCAATACAATCCCTCAGGTCTCTGACATCCATCCCCGGCACCATCTCCACCACCAACCTATTGGGAATTTCCAAGTCCGTGGGCAATAACTGGGATCGGCCCCAGCCGAGCCTGCTATTCTTTGAACACACCTCTTTCCCTTGCCTGACTGGCCTGAATCTGAGGTTCTGTGTTGCTGTTGCGCTCATCGGATTGTCGTCGGCTCATTACGTGTCGCGTCGTCTACCAACCCGCTGAGTGAGAGGTTGCACCATCACCAGCGTCATGGAGGCCGTTGCCGATGATCGGCCCAAGTCAGAACTGCCCATCGATGGTGAAGAGGAGCCCCATGAAGAGGGTGAAAAGAATCTAGATCTAGAGCAGACCCAAGATCAAGACCAAGTCCCAGACCTCAGCCACGATGAACCACAAGAAGATCAACAAGCTTCGTCGGTGATTGATACTCAAACACCAGATGACCAGGTTGCCACGATTGACTTTGTCACTTTGGGCATGTTTATCATTGGTTAGCGGAGCCTCCTCAGTCCATCCTTGAACCTTGCGGTTGCTGCTGTTTTAGAGATGGATGTATCGTAAGACAATGCTAACCTGACCTCAAAGATGATATCGACTTTATCCCCCCTACTCCGCCTGTCAAGAACATCCTCGGTGGCGCTGGCAGCTATTCCGCCCTAGGAGCTCGCCTATTTTCTCCGCCACCGTTGTCTACTTCAGTTGGCTGGATCATTGATCAAGGCTCCGACTTCCCTCCGTCACTGTCGACCATTATTGACAGCTGGACCACTTCTGCCATCTTTCGTCATGATGGCCTTCGACTCACGACTCGTGGATGGAACGGTTATGAGGGCGCCGCCGAAAAGCGTGCCTTCAAGTATCTGACTCCAAAGAAGCGGCTGACCGCTCAGGACCTCACATCAGCGTTGCTCCAGTCGCGCTCGTTTCACCTCATCTGCTCCCCCAACCGATGCCGGGAGCTTGTGTCTGAAATAACATCACTCCGCAAAAATGTTGTTCCCCCAGAGACATACACGAAGCCCATCTTCATCTGGGAGCCGGTCCCTGACCTGTGCACTCCGGATGAGCTGTTGAATTGCACCAATTGCTTGCCCCTTGTCGACGTTTGCAGTCCTAACCACGCCGAGCTGGCTGGCTTCATGGGTGACGACGGCCTGGACCCGGAGACGGGGGAGATATCCACTGTAGCAGTGGAACGTGCATGCGAACAACTACTGGCGAGTATGCCTTTGCAGTCATTCTCGCTGGTTGTTCGCGCGGGCGACAAGGGCTGCTACATCGCAAAGAACGGCGGAAGGAAGCGTCAGCGAGATCCCAAGTCAAAGACAAAACGACGGAAGAAGGATTATGTGAGAGGAGGCTTGCGGCCAGATACCGACATGGAAGCCCTCTTTGCTGGCTTGCTCCAGGATGAAGATGGTATCGTCGCCCGCGAGGAGATCGAGGTCGATCCCGGTATCGAGAAATGGATACCCGCCTACCACAGAGACCCGTCTAACGTTGTTGACCCTACGGGCGGCGGAAACACCTTCCTTGGTGGCCTGGGTGTTGCCCTTGCACGAGGCGAGAGTCTGGAGGATGCTGTGATTTGGGGTGCTGTGGCCGCAAGCTTCGCCATCGAACAGGTTGGCGTTCCCACATTGGGTAGGGATGCGGACGGGCGTGAGGCATGGAATGGGCACAATGTTGAGGCTCGGTTAAAGGAGTTCCGCCAGCGTTTGTGAATGACGACGCCCCTTGGCTAGATGCACGATTTGGTGCAATGTAGATTAATCTGAATAGAAAAGTACCTGGGTCTACCTGCTTTCATCTAACTACTTAATACGACCAGATCCCGTTCATAACCAGCATAATCATCATGTCTCAATCGAATCTAGCGAGGTCCTGACCTGTAGATGTTCGTAATAAACCGACACTTCCTCCCGACACTCATTGAATTACCCATCAATAACATCTTGTCTCAAATCTTGTACACAAGATCTCCCTCGGTGAACCTGCCATTGGTGTTAGTCGAACCTGCTCCAAGTTTTACTCAGGGGTAGAAATTTACATGATCTGGTTTGCCTCTCCCATCTTTTGTAGGGCCTTGGTGGCCTCTCCTTTGGTGAATGCGCCACCGTCACGGTTTCCAACCTTGCGATTGACCGCTTCCACCACGGCATCTAGTTCGGCAGAGTCGTCCTCGAACAGATCCGTGCTAAGAAGCTGACCAAGTGCTGTCCTGAATGTTCCGAGACGCTGGGCACTGATGGGCGTGTCATCGATTGCCAGCCCGGCTGTGCCATCCGCCAGCTCATCGTCCTTCTGTGACTCCGCCTGAGTCTGGGATGGCAACTGGGATGCGGGTATGGAAGATGCGAATGAGGTTTGCGATTGTGAGGTGTTCTGTGTTCGTCTGCCAGAGCGGCGCGGTGTGGGCTGTGCGAGAGCATCCTCCTCCTCCTCATCCAAGTTTGGCTCTCTGCTAGAGGACGCGGTATCGCCTCCATTACGTGCTGCCCGAGAGGAGGTCGTTTGAAGACGGCTGCTGGTACGTGTTGCTCGGGACGTAGATCTGTTTGACCGTGTGCCATCGGCTTGAGTTCCGTCCTGGTCGTCATCACTGGAACTCTCGTCACTGGGAGAGGCAAAGTCGACCGCTTGTGTCTTTCTCCTCTTCTTCCGAGAGGCATCCTCTACAACCTCCTTGAACAGAGCGAATCTGAGAATGCGCTCCGCAGCAACGGCATCACGTTCTTCAACCCTGTTGGATAGTCGGGACTTGGCGTGTGCTGTCGCGAGACGGATGATGGTCTCCAAGGTACGCACAGTCAAGGGACTTGTTCGTCGCTGGTTGCCTTCCATCTCATCATTTCGAAGGCCGACATAGATGTCCGCAATTCGATCAGAGGCTTCCTGCGTCAAGACTGGCTTGATTCTTGTCTTGGCGTACTGAATATACTTCTTCATGAATGGAATACTCAGAATCTCAGGCTTCTTGTTTGCGCCGCGTCCAGATGTGACCGTGACACCCGAGTGAAGCATGGCATCATACTTCTGATACACCTCTGTTGGGCCTTGCGAATCTGCCTGGCTGGTGGCGGAGACACCCAAAGATTGCCCCCCCTGCTCTCTAACAGGTGCACCCTCCTCGGTCCCTGGCTGCCGGTATCGATGCATGCGGAGAACATGCTCCGACACGTGGCGATCACGCGTGTCCTCGATGTCATCCGTGACAACAAAAAGCAGATCGAATCGTGAAAGGAGAGAGTCGGGAAGAGCAATGTTCTTGTGAGGATCCTTGTGCGGGTCATACTGGCCGAAGATGGGATTGGCAGCAGCAATGACGCTGCATCGAGCATTGAGGGATGTGTGAATGCCGGCTTTGGCGATGGTTACAGTCTGCTGTTCCATGACTTCGTGAATTGCAACTCTGTCGACATCTGACATCTTGTCGAATTCATCAATACAGACAACACCACGGTCAGCCATGACCATGGCACCAGCCTCTAGTCGCCGCTCGCCCGTCTCCTTGTCCGAAGTGACGGCCGCTGTCAGACCAACACCGGAGGAGCCACGGCCTGTCGTTGCAATGGCAAGAGGGGCGGTATTGAGGACGAAGCGGAGTAACTGAGACTTGGCGGTAGAGGGATCACCCACCATGAGGATGTTGATGTCTCCTCGAAGATGCGTTCCATTCTCCAAATTTTTCTCCATGCCACCGAGTAGCATTAAAAGTATAGCCTTCTTGACATAGTCGTGCCCATAGATACTGGGAGCGAGCGACTGAGAGAGCAGCTCGAGTAGGTTCTTCTTCTTGGCCACCTTGTTGATGTTGCGAATATCGGTATCAGTAATAGTCGCAGTTGCCACGCCGCCGCCAGATTTTGACGAAAGAAGAACAACATTGTTGGTTAGGATCATTGTCTTGAACAAGGCACTGTTGTGGTTGGTGTTTCGATTACCCAGGGTTCGGTATATACCAACAAGCTGTACGCGATCGCCTGGCTTCACTCGATCGACAAGGTCATCATCGAGGATGGCATCCACTCCGCGGGGGAGTTGTCCTGCAGGAGCTCGCTCGGGCATCTCTTGGATAGAGATTGTCTGGTGGTCCCTGTAAGTGCAGAAACCATATTCGGTGATGAGAGGGTTGCCGTCGTCGTCCTCGCGAGGGTAGACGCTCGAGGTGGTGACGCCATTGGTCATGGTTTGGTCTTGGTATTCGCGAAAGTGAAACCTATCTTTGGTTTCATTGTAATGGACACTCTTGACAACCTTGGGCCGAATCAACGAACAACGAGTGACAATGCCCTCGATAGAAACCATGTAGTTGAGCAGATGTGACGACAATGTGCGGGGATTGCAAGCATTCAGGCCAAAACTGCCAGCCCATGCACAATAGTACACAGTATCCTTTGCTGACTGGTCAGGCCGAGCCTGTGGGAGCGCCTGCACGATGTTCTTCAGGGCTTGATCAAAGGCCAGGGTGTAGTCGAAGGGCTGTTCCAGCAGGCCCTGGGCGAGCTCTGCGTTGTGGTTGCGCACATGGTCGAGATTGACAGTCAAACGGCGCTCGTTCTTCTGTAGCATCAATATGATGTCTGATCGATAACTCCGCACTTGAGGGTCATCTGGAGATTCAGGAATTAGCCATGGAGTGAACCAAACAAAGGACCACATCCTCGGGAACATGGGTGAGCTGTGGGCATACTGGGATCCAGAAATTCCTCAGCCTGGCGAATGCGATCGCGTACGCCTTCATCACCAAGCATGAAAGAATCCATGATGTCTGTTTGTGTGTGATGCCTTTGCTCACAACAAGCTATCCTCACAACGACGATGCGAACAGTGTATCGAGGGGCAGATCTGAATCTGGCGGGGCGTTGCTGGGGCTCCTTGAAATTGCTGTCGCGCTTCTCTCTCTAGACGCGACTTGTTCGCGTAAAGTGGTAGAGTGTGGAGCCAATGAATGGCCCGTGGCTTTGACATGTGGCTGAGACTTGAGCTAGTCCTGATACCGTAATGACCTCTGCACCTTCCCTACTGCGTACCTACCTGATGTCGCTACCCCCAACGCTGATGACCTCGTCCTCCAACTGTCACCTCCTGACACTTCAAGTTGCCGAGAGCTTCGAGTCCTGACAAACTCGTCACCATTTCTACTTGTCATCATATATTCGTGGAGCCATGTCAGTTGGACTCGTTAACAGTGCTCACAACACGCTAGACGAGGAGGCGAGGGCCGAGGTCGATGTTCTTAACTCGCGTCTAGAGAAGACAACACAGTTGACCAGGAAAATCCAGTCATGTCTCAACCGGCTTGAAACTACTGGAAAAAGCGTGCGCGAAGTTGCTGGCCCGCTAACTGGGGAAACGAAGCGGCTACAAACTTTGGGAAACAGTGAGTGGTACGACAAGGCCTAACATGTGCGCAACACTGACATAGGCTAGACGTTGATTCTGTCCTGGCTGCGATCGAGCGCCTCCGTCAACCTGCCGATAGCAAGAATGACGAAGAACAGATCATTCGGGTGGGACCCGAAAAGGCCGGCCTTCCCAACTATTTGGCTTCTATAAAGCGTCTGAACAAGGCGTTGAACGAGATGCAAGCATCTAATCTGCGTGCGAACCAACAAACGATGGCCGATCTGGCCCGTCTGATCAAAACGGGCAACAATCAGCTTGAAAGCCATTTCGATACCCTCCTTCGCGCAGAAACACCACGATCCATCGAGCCTTTACATTTCATCACCAAGGACAAGCCATTCCCTGCGCTTCCTCAGGATAAGATAGCTCGGCTTGGTCTGGTCTATTCCTACGTGGCAGGAAGTCAGCATCAAGGAGGACCAGAGTCGCCGGTTGCCAGAATCTATGCTGACGTACGTGGGCCATACCTCTCTGGATCCCTCGCCAACCTAGCTGCTGCGAGCGTCAACACGGCCAAGAAGAAGAATCCCGATGCTATCTATCGAGCGGGCACCAACGGTATTGGGACCTATGCCCAGGCCATGGAGGGCTTATTCCTAGCCGAGTACGACAATGTGTGCAGCATCTTCACCCGGGAGGATTGGGGTGTCGTCTTTCAGGCTACATGCCAGGCAGCATTGGCTGAGCTGGCTCGCACTTTGCGCGAACTGAATGCCCACATCAAGAACCACCTTAATACAGACTGCTATCTGGGATACGAAGTCACCGAGATTGTTTCGGCGCTGTCCGGCAACCTGGACACACGAACCGGCGAGCTAAAGGGGGCTCTCGCCGCCGCTCTGAAACCCGTTCGAGAGACCGCCAAGTCGTCCCTTGCTGAATTACTGGAGGATACAAGACGCAAGGTTGCGTTCTTGCAGGTGTTGCCGTCGGATGGGGCACCGATACCACTTGTTTCGGAAACGATGCAGCGGTTACAAGCCATGGTGGAGTTCCTCCGACCGATCTCAAGCATCATGATCTCTATCGGCGATGGTGGATGGAAATCTAACGCGGGATCCAACAACCGATCGGCAGATGTGATCCCGAGCCTCGCATCTTTCGACATTGGGGCAGATGGCCGAGACATTTTCGCCCATTACTGTCTCGACACCATCGAAACGCTTCTCTCGGGTCTGGACCAGAAGGCTCGGCTGCTCTTGAAGACAAGAGCGGTTGCGGGAGTATTCATGGCCAACACTGTCATCATCATCCAACGCATGGTGCGTGATTCCGATCTATCGCCCCTCTTGGAATCGAAGCTGGATGTTCTCGA